TTTTCTCCATCAAACATGGGAGGCTTTGTGCTGATTCTATCCCCTTCATATTTGTTGCAACTGGCTGTATTGGATGTAGAAACGTCACCCATAATGATAATCAAATATATACCAAAGTAACTTTTCTCACTGGATCTTTACTGACACGGTTAAGTGATAGCACACGCAGAACCGGAGCTCTGATGCCAACTGAAGGTGAGAAAATTACTTAGAAGGGGGGGTTGAATAAGTATGACAAATAAACAAAGATTTAAACACAGTTATTTTTATCCTGGTTCGTTGAACACAACTACTCCAGTCCACCCTCTCAAGAGTGATTTGCCTTTCTCTGTCAAGGACTTAATCCACTATTTAATCAAACAGATTACAATAGTAACACCTAAGAATAACTGTTCTTAGTCTTCTCAAGAGCTACTGATCCCAACTGGATCCTCTTAAGGAAAACCTTTTACAAACAATGTAAAACTATTACAAGAGTAAGAATGCTTCTAATAAGCTGTTATCACAACTGTGATATTTCTCTTAAGTTAAGAACAATGTTATAGCAAAATAAGATTATAAGAGCTTTGAGAGTTTTGCTTTGATGAGTGATTTTTGCAAGTAAGTCGTTGCTGAAGAAGATGGAGTGGACTTCTTTATATAGGCACTTAGATCCATGAAGTCTTCTCAACGTTGAAGGCTGTGCTGAAAAGCCTGGAGCCTTTTGTCTTTACATTGGAGGTTGTGCTGAAAAAGCCTGATGCCTTTTGTCTTCACTTTGCAGAAACTTTCCTTAGAATGGAATGCACAGATAAAACCTTTTTGTCTGTGTTCTTGTGTCTAGCACAAAAGAGGAAAGAGCTGTTGAGATATGCCAACGTACATATTTAAATCTTCTTCACTAAGTAAGTTCAGCTTTCAACATTAGAGTCTGAATCTTCAGAATCTCCAGAGTAGAGATCTTCTGGATCTTCAGAGTCTTGGATGTTCTTCAGATTGAGCTGAATCAGAGTATGTGCAGCATGTGTGCTTGAGCGTGTAAATCTATCAGAGCAGAGTCTTCTATATCAGATTCTCAATACTTAAGCAGCGCAGTATCTTCAGAGTCTTCTGATGACTAAGCTTCTGATCTCTCAGAGTCTTCTATTCTTTAGAGGCTCCTTCTTCAGAATCTTCAGTAAACAGCATTCAGATTCTTCTGGGAGCAACGTTCAGATCTTTATTTAAGATGCTCTTGAACCTTTGAAGTCTTTCATAATATCATTGTTCAGATCCAAATTTGCTCTTTTAAGAATATTTTCTTTAGTACCTGTAGCAAACAGTCTAGAACAAATTTAGAGTATATAATTCTTGAATACAAAATTCATAAGTGTTATCATCAAAACATAGAGATATAACTAAGAAACAATCTGTGTTCTTACAACACCCTGCACCATCTTCAACCTCCATTATTGCAAGAAGAATCATGCTCTGTGTTCCAACCTATTTCCAACTAGATCAGTCATCCAAACAAGTTCTAAAGCACTTAAGGAAGCTAAGAAGGTTGTTATCTTCCATCTGCAGTAGCTGTAAAGAAGCCTTGGACTTTCTCCAAGAGGTAAGGCCTTCTGACTTTCAAACTCTCATATTCATGCATTGTCTTGTTGATATTTGAATAGAAAAATGTAGTATGTTTGGTGCTTTGTGATTCTGAGTGGATGTTTTCCTTGTTTTGTTTGAATACTACAGGTTAAAACATGTTGAATTTTCATGGTGTTACACTGTTGTTGAGTGATTTATGAATTACTCAGTTATTTTTAGGACGAGATATTATTATATTCTTGATCCTTGTGAAAAATGTCGTGACTTTGATCTTTACATCATTGAAAATGGTTGAGAGATGAAGGAGTTCTGAGGAAAATAAGTTATGGCCATGGAGTTTTGTTTAGGGCACGAAAGAGAGAAGCGGGGAAGAAGAAGATAAAAGCTAAGGTGGAGGTGAGTTGGCATGACATGGCGCTGATTTGGCCATTTTATGGTGTTTTAAAATAAAAACAACTGAAGGCGTATTATGTTTGGATGTAACAACCACCCCAGTGGTAGAAGCCTTTCCTTGCCTTTCCCCTTGACATGCCTGACCTAGGTTCGATCCTGCTGATCAACCCTTTTGCCATTTTTCTGATTTATTTGATAAATTTGATATTTTATTGCATGCTTCCATCATTATTCACAAAGTGCGCATTAGCTGGTTTGGCTAGTGTTTTAGATTGTAACCCTAACAACGTGGGTTCAACACCCATGGTGACCATTCCCTTTATTTTTGCCACTTGTTTTCTTTATTTTCTTCACAACTTCAACTTGTCATAACTTCTTCATCTTAAATGATTTTTTGCCCATTCTTTTTGTAAAATGTTCATGCTTATGTCTATTTTTCATTTATATTAGGAAATTTCCAAAAATATTATTTCATGTTATGATTATCCATGATCCAAGTATATCACATTTTTAGGGTTTCTTAGGTTTCCTTTTGATCTTTTGATTGATCCTTTGTTTCTCCTTGAACTTCTTGAGTTGTATGAACCATACGCATCTTGTATGAATCTCATTTGATGTGATGAACTTACATACCCTTGTTGTTACATGGTTGTTATTACTTTTTTCAAGTTCATGTCCTTATGTGAATACATGTTTGAATCTCTTGAGACCTTGGTTGTTACCTTTCCCTTAACATGTGATTCTATTCTATGATCAAATGATTTGAATGAACATGTGTTTTATGTCGACTACCATACCTTAAGTGTTCTTAGATACTTGTTTGTTTTTCTTTGAAAGATGTTTAATATGCATGTTTGTATGAACAAATCCTTGTGATTGTTTCTCATCTTACTCAAAGACCATGATTGAACCCTTTTACATGTTGGTTGTTACTTACTTGTTTAACTTGTTCATATTCATAATGTTTCCAAGAATTTTTGTCACTCATATGATATGATCTTGATGTCTACAAGTTATCCTTTGAATGTTTACACTCCAACTCACATATTGTTTGTCACATATGTCTCACTCTTATTTAAATATATTTTGGTTGTCACCTTTGCCATACTTTGGTTTGATGTCCATGCTTTAAATATTGTCATGATTTATGCATGTTGATCTTGAGTTTTGAAATTTTCCATGATAAGTAATATCTTGACTTATACATGATTGCTTGTACTTCAAATTTCCACCTATGATGTTTAGTCTTGTAAGAACCTTGTTGTAACATCCATGTTTGAAATTACCTTTGGTTGTAACCATTTGATTTTATTCTAAACCCCTTTGAAAGAATGCTTGGTTGTTACCATTATTATATGTCTTCAGCATGTTTGAATGAATATATATGTATGCTTGAAGCTTGTTAAGTTTTCCTAAGTGATGTAGCTTGTTAGCTCCCATCCTAAAGATTTTCCTTGTGTTCCTAAGTCCAAAGGAAAGTCTATCTATTGGCTCAATGTCATAGATAACTCATTATTCTGTTAGCCTCTCATTGACCTTGTTAGAGTCATTAGGAATTTCAATTTAGTCTTAAGATAAAACCAACACCCCTATTTGACTTTGTTACAGTCAAAATCCTAGCACACTTTGTAGAGAATTCTATAACTTAGAACTTAGGTCTAGAGTTTGTTAACTCTAAGTGTGTACCATTGTCATGTGTACTCACTTCCCCTCTTGACTTTTAAAGGCAATCCCCAGTTAGTTTTCAACTTACCCTTAAAGAGTTTATTAACTCTATATAAGTATGATTGTTATGAATACTTATTCCCCTTAAAACCTTAGTCAAGAGTTCTTTCACCCTAGTTAGGAGAACTATGATTGCTCTGATTTCATCATTGTAAGGATATGTAGGCACGAGATGCGACGTCTTGGCGAACATATTTAGTGTACATATCCATAGGTCATTACCTTTTGCACCTTTACCTTAACACATAACCATTAGCAGACAAACATTAGCATAACACAACTACCTAACAAGAGGCTCATGTAGAGTACTACAGATATTTAGGGTGCTAATACCTTCCCTTAGTATAACCAACCCCCGAACCCATTAATCTATTAGCTTCGTTGTTACGTAGCACACTTAGGATTTTCTTCGATCTTTACCCTTTCCTTTGGATAAATCAAAGCTCGGTGGTGAATATTTAAAGATTTGTGGTTCAAGTTAATTAATAGTTTGATATTCGATTCTCACCGCAACAGTCAGCTCATCAGGATATATCATCGGAGAAACATGTTAGGGCAGATAATGTCGTTTTGTGTTATTTGCATGTCGTCGTATTATGGATCTTGCATGAGAGGGTATAAAGAGAGGGGATTTCCTATAAGACACTTTTGGGAGGTCAATTGTAGATATCATTATATATGAGATACAACCGACATTGTAGTAATGAAGGCAACAAAGGAACAGGAGATCTGATATACCCAATAGGATAGTATTTGTATTAGAGATTATGGAATAATATTGTTTGTAATTTATTATTTTGGCATTATTATGCATATGAGGTTATTACAAAAATGCATATTCAAATAAATTTTTAACTAAAAAAAATAATGACTTATTTATGCATAATTTTAATGTATATGGATGTGTAGAAAATATATTTTAGATTAAGAAAGGCAATTTTTGAATTTTCAATCATTATTTCTCCACTATTAAGGATGGAAGGAGTAATTCACTTATTCTATTCAATTGTTGGTTTTAGTTTAGTAGGGTTAGAGTTCAAAGACATTGTCTTCAAGAATGATAACATTTTTATAAATAATTTAATATAGTAAACAAATTATCCAAACAATGAAAAAATGTCTGAGATCATTCATATTTTCACTTATCATAATTATTACAAAAGGTTTATTGCAATCTGATAAATATATGTAAAAAACATAAATCAATACACAAATATCAGATGATAGAAACAAAGGAAAAATAAGAAAATCTATAATAGTTTACATATTAGTTGTAAAATAAGATGAGAAGAACACATTTTGTAATAACTTATGTGTGATTTTCAATTTGGAACACAAGCTGCTAACTTTGCTCTGAGATCTTTACGCAAGATTTTTCCTGAGGCTGACTTGGGAATTGCATCAACGACGAATACTTTATTTATTCTTTTATAAAACACCACCTATATTTCAAAGACACGTACCTCATATATTAGATTTTATTTCTATAAATATAATAGTTTATCTTAAATATTGATTAACGACCTGTTTAAAGATAAATTGTTTAACTTCATCTTCAGTTAAGTCAGTGTAACCATTTGATCTCACCACAAATGCAACAGGTACCTCTCCAGCAGCCTCATCATTCATTCTAAAAAAATTAATTGATTATATCTGTCTGCATCTAAATAAATAATTTAAATATAGAAAATTAGTCTTACGGAACAACAGCAGCATCAGAGATTTTGGGATGAGAAAGAAGAAGAGCTTCAAGTTCAGCTGGAGCAACTTGAAAACCTTTGTATTTGATCAATTCCTTCAATCTATCAACAACGAATAATTCATCATCTTCATCAATATATCCAATATCACCTGTATGCAACCAACCTTCTTTGTCTATCGTTCTATCTGTTGCTTCCAAATCATTCAGATAACCTACACACCACCATTTATGTATGCATTTAATTTAATAATTACCATGTGTTTTGCATAGTACTTATTAAATTTTTATTTAAGTCACTTGTTAATTATTACTAGTACTCTCTATTTTAAAACAAATGTCTTTTTAACAAATTGAAATTTATTTTAAAATGAATATCATATTTAAAAATAATTATTATTGTTTTTAATTATATTCCTTAATTATTATTTATATATTACGTCCAACGCATTCATAAAACTAATTTAATAAAATTGCAATGTGGCATGTCTTGTAATAATATTATTTGAATTTTATTTCCAACTTTTGGGAGTTCAAATTAAATAAATATTGATGGGGCCAAGATCCCATGAAGAGAAGACAGTTCCAACTACCTTTGAAAACAATCATATCACATGTCCCGCTCCAGCTACGATTTTGTCCACCACATAAATGCTTTTCTCATTTTAACCATAACGTATAAAATGGACATAACGATACCAAAATAAATTGCTATCATAATTTAAATAATGCTACAATCATTTTTAAACGTTTTCCTTGTGACGCATCTAATAAAGAAATTATTGGCTCGAATAACACCACTAAAACGAAATTCACATGTGACACCACTCTTAACCAATCACGTAGGGTGTTTAATGCATAAAATTATAAAAAATATAGATAAGAATAGGTTCTATGTGTTTTGATACCAGTGATAGAAATAGGTTTTCCAAATACGAATGACTCATTTAAAATCTGAATTTTATACACTATACAAATGTTTATTGAGTGAATGAAAAATCTTTATAACTTTTTTATGTGATTAATTGTTAGTGCAAAAACCAATTATTCCATATAAAAGTATGAAATAAATAAATTTAAAAGTGAACCTTTCATGATCTGTTGGCCTCTGATGCATATTTCACCCAATTTATTTGGAGGTAAAGAGTTACCAGTTTCAGAATCCACAATCTTCATCTCTGCATTTCTAACAACAGTTCCACACGCGCCTCCTTTTACGGTCAAAGCTTCTTTAGCAAATGCTAAACTCATTGATAACACTGGTCCTGCCTCAGTCATTCCGTATCCCTATATTCATTTAATCATCTTTATTATTCTACTAAAAAAATATTTTTTATATTCAAATAATATTTTTATTTTTATTTTTTAGGGTGTACTAACATTTTAATTTTATTTCTATTCTAAAGTAATTATTTATTTTTCCAAAAACAATTGTATACTAAAATAAACAACAAAACCAAAATAAAACAAACATAGGAATTTATATTACAAAGACAACACACTTGATAGACATGAATATTGTGGTCAAAAGTGACGTTGATGTTGACATGTAACTATAAAATACATCAGACAGTTATTGATATTATTTTATTGAACACCTAGTAATATTGCTGCCATAAGAAGAACTTAACTTAAATATAAGAAAAAAATGATGTTATAATATTTTTAATTGTAACAAATAAAACGAAATGAAATAGGTATAGTTAAAGATACCTGTCCAAGAATGGCTTTAGGGAATTTGGTTCTAACACTCTCTTCCATTTCTTTCCCAAGTGGAGCACCACCGGATTTCAATATTCTAATGGAAGACAAATCGTATTTATTAAGATCCCGTGACTTTGCTATCGCCAACACGATCGGAGGAACAACCGGTGCAACCGTCACACGGTGTTTGCTAACCAGACTCAAGAATGCATTTATCTCGAATTTTGGCATTAACACAATGGTAGCTTTGACTCTCAGTCCACAGAGTAAAACTGAGTTGAGAGAGTAAATATGAAACAGAGGAAGAACACACAGAATCACATCGTCATTTCTGTAATATAGATTTGGATTCTCTCCATCCACTTGTTGCGCTATGCTGGTTACCAATCCTCTGTGTGTTAACATGACTCCTTTTGGTAAGCCTGTTGTTCCGGAGGAATACGGAAGCGCCACCACGTCGTCAGGGTGGATCTTTGCTTCCGGCAAGTCTTTCTCGTCCGCATCGGTTAGCGTTGAGAAGTGGACATTATTATTATCATCATCTGCGGTAGAGTCTATCAACACTAGTTTGCGATGATCAGTGTTGTTCAACAACTCCTTGATTTTGTCGCAGTAACATGCTTGTGTTATGATCAACTTGGCGTTGGAGGCTTTTGCTTGCTTTTCAATCTCCGGCGCGGTGAAGAAGGGATTGGCTGAAGTGGCTATGGCGCCGAGATAAGAAGCGGCGAGAAAGGAGAAGACGAATTCGGGGGAATTGGGGAGGAGGATCATGATGACGTCGCCTTGTTGGATTCCCAATTTGTTGAAACCGGAGGCAACTTTGCGGGAGGTGAGTTGTACTTCGGAGTAGGTGTAGAGTTTTCCGGTGGGGGCATGGATGAGGCATGGATGTGAGTAAAACTGAGAGAGATTTTGAAAGCAATAGGAATGAAGGGGAAGATGATTGGGGATGTATATGTCAGCAAGTTTGGACTTGAATATTATTTGGTTATCTTGTTGAGAGGCCATTGAATAAGGAGCGAGTTTATGTAACTACCTTCGTTGAAATATTAAAATCCAGATTGTGATTGTTTTATAATGTTTTTTGTGGGTTTATAATATAAGATAGGATTACGGCTCCGAAAATGTTGTTGATGAGGGGTAAATTTGGGATAGTTGAAACACGTGAGGGGTAGAGGTGGAAAGGAAAACAAGTAAGGTGGGGAAGGGGAGATTAAATAGTTGATACGGTGCAATGTGAGTGCTGTGATGTGAATAAAAACAAAGCCAGTAATGTTGGGTCGGGTCAGTCACCCGATTCACTTACTGAACAGTCCAAAGAATTTGCACTGGATATTGTTCTTATCCTTCTTTACCCACACTACAAACAACTCACCATTATATATTCAAAAAGTTGGACAGAGTTGTAGAAATATTCTTCTTATTTTTGATAATCTAACATGGTGCTTATACCGTACAAGAAGAGATGCTTCCTATGGTCCAGAAGATATTGAAGTGACTGCTGCTTAGATTCATTTATTTGTTCTTCGCAACACTTTTTTGTTAAAAATAGATCACCTTTAACTTTTTATGTTCCGTCTTTTTTATGTAGTTACTAGCGTTCAGACGTCTGTCCGCTTTTTTTAATGTGCACAACATAGAAAAATAAACTTGTGTATATTTTGTATGAAGTTTTTATTATATTTAAGATTAATTAATTCATTTGTTTTTAGATATTCTCAAGCAATCTTAAAATCAGGATGATAAATGTATATATGCTAAAAATACTTTAGTGAATTAACTATATATTAATGATATTATTATTTTAAACATACCGAATTAATCCTCCACAACACCTTGTAGCACCAACCCGAGACCACCATAACTATGAAATTCAATAAGAAAGAGTATAAGCTACATTATTTGGCACAAAAATGTTTATGAACATACCTTGAGAACGACATGATGCACCGCCATTTATGGCTTCCATGTTAACATCTGATATTACTGTATCCTCTAAAGCTTCATCAACATCCATATCGCCTGATACAAAAATAATAATTAACATATATATATCTTATATATATATATATATATATATATATATATATATATATATATATATATATATATATATATATATATATATATATATATATATATATATATATATATATATATATATATATATATCGAAATTACTACTCGCATATGTAAAACAATATCTTGTATACCTATAGCAGAGTGACTATTGTTGATACGTTGGTTAGGTGATGTGAAATTATGATCGGCGGGTTTAAATACATAAAATGAGGGATGGCAAATAAACAATATTATACAAAGTATGATTATAATGTCTATATTGATCATCACCAACTAAGTGCAACATCATTAACATGTGTAATTCTACTTGGGCCGACTTCATTGTTATGAGTTTCTTGAAAGTGTGATATTGGAGATCTCATATTTGTAAAATTTTGAAATGGAACTCTCCTCCAACTGTTCATAGTGCAAGATGTTTGAACTTGTTTATCTTGCTCTTTTCGCCGCCTATAATTGTCACATCGTATCGATAAATAATTTTCTCTTTGTTCGAGGTTCATATTTTGTCTCGTCTTCCTTTCATTTTCGGCCCTTCTTGCCATTTGTTGTTGACTTGATATCTGACGAGTATTATTTTCCATTTTCTTAATGTAACTGCCAAACACATATGCAATTTATAAGTAACATAGTTTCACTAATCATGTTGAAAAATATTGGTAAATATGGACGGAATTTAAAATAAATATATTTGTTTTTGGAAAAAAGAAGTTTACACCAAAAAGTATTATTTGTAAAACATTTGTTAAAAATATAAGTCAAAACTAAAATATAAAAAAGATGAAGAAAAAATGGGCAATCAATAAAAAGAAACATAAATTATGTTAGACAAATAGATGAAAAGATTGCATATTAACTAAACATTAAAATATAAAATGGGGTAAGAAATGAAATTGGTGTAACTTAATTATATGAAAAACTACAAAAAAAATAATATGAAAAACTGAGTTAATTTAAGTTATAGATAAAAGATATATTAATTAAAAAAATAATGAGAAAAAATAGTGTTATAGTAAAGGGAGTTTAATAGATTTCACTGTGTTCTAATTGCTCCTTGTAGGTTCATAGTAATATTTCTATGTTACTCCAAATTATTTTGTATTTTAGTTAACTCATAATGTTACTGCATCTATATTAAATATTTCTAAAAGGATATTATCTATATGGGAGTTTAAAACATATTCTTGAGCAGTGTAAATGAGTTCACGATAGCCTGTGTTCCATTAGATGACAATTACCAACCATCGCTAATAGGAGTTGTGTATCACCATCAATATTCTATTATACTCACCATCAAAATTAGTTTGTATTATCTATCTTACTTTTTTTTATACTCCTATCTTTATTGTGTTCAAAGGGCTAGCAAGGATGAAGTTATCCAAAAAAAATGAAGTTGATTGTAACAATTTCAAAGATGAAATAAAATATTCATATAAAGTTTTGTTCAATGTATTCAAACACATCAGTATATCATATAAGTTAATATACACATAGACATTATCCTTTGGAGATGGCAAAATAATAATATTACTTATTTAATTAAACAATTTTTTTAGTGTGTATATATAGACTTCTACAAAGATATCATTCCATATTCTAGGAAAGACTTAATTCTCTAGAAAAATATCAAGATCAGTTATCACACATAGGGAACCAATTTACTAACATATTTTTGTATGATTTTTGCAAAATAAAGATGAAATATATATATATATATATATATATATATATATATATATATATAGATGAAGGAGATATAAATTTTGAAATGTATTATTTTCATTCATTTATTGCTTTTAACTTTCATTTATAAATAATTGATTTATAATTTTTAATTCCATAATCATATTTGAATTGATATCTATAACCTCTCTTCTCCATTTTACAAAAATATATTTTTTTTTTTGTAAATCTACATTTGCATTTGTCCCAATAACATCTCTATCCTTTTTGCAAAATTACTCCTCTCTTATTTTTAAAGCATCTTTGATTCTTCTCCCCCTCTCTTTATATGTTATTGTAACTTTATACTTTCTTTCATAATTGCAATTGTATTTTTAAATTCGATTACCATGTCTTGATTTGTGGTTTATGTTTTCTCACCTAGAGTCCTTTCAAATATGTAAAATAGGAAATAACATGTGAATGACAAATTGTTTCATTGCATGCCTTGATTTTAACTTTTGAATAAAAGAAGTGAATAAGGTCTAGAAGTTAAGAAGACTTATAAAAAAGAGGACATAAGAGAGATAGTGTTACAGAATTCGACAAAAAATTCGTAAATGATTCTCTTGATAAACATGCATAATAAAATTTGTAATTTTATTATAGCTTCCATTCCTAACAACTTGCATGCATATCTTAAACAAAAACCACCTTATCTACTCTTATTGCCTCATGTATTTCTAGAAAAAAATCGCATGTAATTTATTTAAAATTAAAATTATTAGACTAATGAGGTTGAAAAACAGTAACATACACTAAACTTAAACAAATTATACTGATATCAAATTAAGGCTAAATGAGAATTATACATATGGCTAAATCACAAAGCATATGATATATAGTTTCTGAGATATATAATTAAGGCTATTTATTTATAAATAATTAGTGAATATTTTTCCAAGAGTAAATATACTGGACTATATACTTCAAGATTATATATTAGTATATTTTATAAATTACCTAATTTAGTATATCTAAGTACTTCCATCTGCTTTCTATTACGGTAGTCCTGATATATAGGTATACCTAAAATCATGATAATTGACACAAACCACAAAGCATATAATACTACTTCAAACTTTTATGTGTATGATGATGACGGTCTGATACTACAATGAATAATACATGTGGTTATGAATATTGTGTCGGAAACATTTTATGGCAATTTATGAATTTTGTATTTTAATAGAGACTTCCAATGTAATGGAGTAATAATTACGTGTAGTGTCATATTCCGTTAATAATTACACCAAATATATCAAATACCCATTGAAAACTTCTAAACAATTTCTTAGTATAATCTACAAAACATCCCTGTATCATATAATTTCCAATTTATACTGGAAGTGCGCGTCAAAAGTTATGCAATATTCTAATTGTTACGATAATTTCTTAGCAACTATTTCATAGTTACAGTAATTATCAAGTACAAAAAAAACTTCCATGTATCAATTAAAAATAAAACAAAAAATGCACTCAAGTGTAACTGTTAGTTTCCATTAATATCCAGAAACGATGTCCATAAAAGAATGTAAACCAATAGAAATTTAAATAGGAGGAAATGTGATCAATTTTTAATAAATTCATTCAATTATATTTAAAAAAAAAAATACCTGACAAAAATAATATCAGAATGAGTTTGTTGAGAGTCTTGATCTATACTACTTTATACATTCATTCAATTGTATTTCAAACAAAGGTACTGGTGAAGATTGAATTCTCTTGATAAATTATAGATGAAGTAATAGATCAATTATTTGCGCTCCAATAATGGAGGTATGCACGGTTTGACAAAGAAAGGAAGAGAGGGATACGATTAATTTGCAAATAGCTTGACAAATTGAGAGAAATAGTTTGTAAATGGCTTGGAGAGAGACTCACTTTGCATATAGGAGTTAGTATGAACCTTAATAATAGGAAGGACTATTGGAAATAGTGGAAAGTTATTTTTTACAGTTATTATTTAGTATTATTATTAAATAAATCATGTGAGAAATTAATCATTAAGGTAAATGGTAAATATGAAATAAAAATATGAAATTAAGCATTAATGAAGGGTAATTGTGGAACAAAAATAGGCCACACCAAAAAGTTGTATCCCCTTTATATATAGTTATAGATAAATAAATCAAAGTACTTCATCTGCTTTCTATTACGGTAGTCCTGATATATAGGTATACCTAAAATCATGATAATTAACACAA